GGAGTTGCAATGGTGTTTGGAGCTGTGGGCTGTTGGTTGATGGTGTTTTCCGGTGGTGTTTGGAGTTTGGCAGGTTGTTCGGCAGCAAGTGTGGAGGTTGGAGTTTGGAGGTTGGGTGTTAATCTGTCTTCAGAGTTTGGAGGTTGGAGTTTGGAGTTGCAATGGTGTTTGGAGCTGTGGGCTGTTGGTTGATGGTGTTTTCCGGTGGTGTTTGGAGTTTGGCAGGTTGTTCGGCAGCGAGTGTGGAGGTTGGAGTTTGGAGTTTGGAGGTTAGGTGTTAATCTGTCTTCGGAGTTTGGAGGTGGAGTTTGGAGTTGCAATGGTGTTTGGAGCTGTGGGCTGTTGGTTGATGGTGTCTTCCGGTGGTATTTAGAGCCGTGACCTGTTGGCTACAGTGTTTTCCGGTGGTGTGGGGAGTGCAGCAGAGTGCAGCAGAGTAGGTGTGGCCTCGGGAGTGCAGCAGCACAGCAGCTTAGGTGTTCAGGTGGGTGGTTGGCTACAGAGTAGGCGTGGGCGTGAGCTGCAGAGTAGGCGTGGGTCTTGGGTACTGTGGGCTGTGGAAGTGTAGTTGGTGTTTAAAATATTTGGGTTACTAGCTTGATTTTGTGGTTTGATTTTGGTGGGTTGATTTTGTGAAAAATCATGTATTTTATATTCTGTTAAGTTCTTCTTAACTTTTTTTGTTTAAAAAAAATCGTGAGGCCGAGGGGTTGGTTGTATGGTTGCGAGTAGCAGTAGTAGGGGTATTTTATACTTTCCGAAACTCTCTCAGTGCATTTCTTCTTCCTGTATCTTTAATTTCATGTTTTTAATGAAATAAAAATTTTTGAAAAAAAAAAAAAAAAAAAAAGGTAACATTACCGCAAAAATATGTAACAATACCATAAAATACATAATTTCATTTTTGGCCCCATTTGGAAACTTGGGTATTTTAATTAGCTTTTTAGTTATTTGACTATTTTAGCATGTTTAAAAAAATTTGTGTTTGGGATATTTTTGATTTTTTTTTTGTAGTTGATTTGATGATTGTGAAATAAAAAATAAAATTATTATAATTTGAATATGATATTTTAACTTATTGACTATTTTACATTTTTGTCTTTATTGATTAAAATAACCAAAATTAGCATAATTGAGCTCATCACAAACACTAAAGTGTCATAACTTAAAAAAAATAAATTCGTAACATTTATCACAAAAATACGTAATAAGGATACATGGGATAGATTTCCTAAAATCTCACCAAATTTTTTTTTTGTCTTTTGTTATTATTATTATTTATTTATTACTTTTTAAGTCCTAGAAAGCCCTAAAATGTTTTTAAAAAATGGGTAAACTTTGAAAAAGTTCATTGTATACATATTTGTATTTTATAAACAAATTTTAAATTTGGTTCCGAATTTTTTTAAGAATCATCTAGTTCAATAAGATCTGAATAGTAAAAAAAATTAATAGTTTTTTAATTTAAAAATCACTAAATATAATAATAAAAATAATAAAAATACTAAAAACGTCATTTGCCTCGAAGAAGAGCTCAATTGTTGACCCTAGTTGAATTGTGACCTTTCTAAGCTCCACTTATTTGACTTCTCAACAGGTAAAGACAAGAAAGGGTTTTCAATTCAACTAGCTAAATTTGAAATAGAGGGTAGGACAAACTCATAACTAAGGGAGGAGTTGGTTTATGAAATATGAAAAATTGGCCTTGGCCAGGTCAGCCAGCCTAGCAAAACCCTATTGGGTGTTGCTAATGTTCCAAAAATAATGTTTTAAGTGCTGTTATTGTGATTTGGAAAAATAAGAAAACTTATTAAAGAAACAGAAACAAAAATTATAAATTTGTAATACAAAGATATAATGACAAAAATGAAAATCTACAAAACTTGTAGCTTGCTAGTAAACAAAAGGTGGCCGAGATTAGTGTTGGACATCGTCTTTTTAAGATAAAATTCGTTCATTATTATAGTATTGCAAGGATAATAGACGTTTATCTCTTAAGACGAAACTATTAAATCACATAAAAATAACACTAATATTGTGTGTTTATTGAACTAATTATGATATCACTTAGATGAAAACTATACGTATGCAAGGAAAAATGAATGAATTGAAATGCAAGAAGAGGGATTATTTGAGAATTTAATTTTTAAAATTTTTATGAAAAATGTGTAATAAAGTAAAAAAAAATTAATTTGACTTTTTATAATAATTTTTTAACTAAAACACTAATTTCCTAAACAGCCAATCAGCTTGCTTGGTTGTGTTTTTTCAAAAATACTTTTTAAAAAATTTTACTTTCTTATTTTTCATGTTTTTTTATTTTTACTGAATTTTTTAAATATTTTAAGCAAATTTTTTTTTTTTTTACTTTTTAGACATACCTAACATAAATATACCTATAAAGTAAAAAATTTATGAAAAAAATCTTTTAGAAATTCACTAAATATCAAAAATATAAAAAAAATACGGGAATTCAGTATATTTTTTGTATTTTTATGTATTTATTAATTTTTTAAAATATTTTTTCATAAATTTTTTACTTTTTAGATACATCTAAGTAAGGTGAATCTAAAAAAGTAAAAAAAAAATATTTAAAATTTTAAAAATATTCACTAAAAACAAAAAAATACGAAAACCAAAAAATTCAATTTTTAAAAAACTTAAACCAAACACACTGATTGTTATTCAAGATCAAAATGTTCAAGCCTAGTGATGTATCAATTAAATTAACAAATTTTTTCATATCTCTAATCATCAATCAGTTATATTAGTTACACATCATTACGTCTATAGAACGGGCTTAAGAAATGGGCTTGTATATTATTTGAATATGAAATATTGCTCATCCAATTATTTTTTAGGACAAATTACACCGATAGTCCCTATATTTTGCCCTTTATGTCATTTTGGTACCTCAACTTTTAATTGACTCAATTGTGATCCTTAATTTTAAATTTTGTGTCATTTTGGTCAAATTGATAATGTCGTTAGTGTTTTTGATGAAAAATAATTACTGAATTAGTTAAATTTAACTCACTAAGTTTAGTAAATATATAATTTTACTCTAGAAAATTTGACACATGCCACTTATATATATTTTCATACAAAAATGTTAAAAGTTGTAATCAATAGAATAAAATTGAAACAAAATTATAAATTCAAGATTAAACTTAAATCAATTGAAATTTTAGAGACCAAAATGACAGTAGGACTATGGTCGCAATTTATCTTATTTTTTATTTTATTGTTTTTACTTTTCAAGAAAAAATCTAATGTGACAGTGCTTGTTATTTAAGGACAGCACGGACAACTTTTATACTTGGGTCATAGTAATGGCCGTATCTGTTTTTGCACAATGTAATGCAATTTGAAAGATGGACCTTGTCATTGTGAAGTGAACAATGTTTCGGACTTGTTTTATTAAAGGGTAGATTATAAATACATTTTTTTTAAGGTGTGCTCAAAATATAAATTATTTTTTATGGTTTAAAAAATTATAAATATTTTTTTGTTAGAATTTTTATTTAACAGAATTAATTAAAAAAATAAAATTTCTAACTGTTTACCTATACAATAATAAAATTATTTAAATTATTAATTGAAATAAAATTTTGATATTATTAAAAACTGTTAATTAACTTGATGATTTATTAATAAAAGAATCTATTTATTAGGAAATTAAAAACTTTAGAGGACATGATGTAATTTTTAAAATCACAAAAATAATTTATAATTTAAATAAAACTTAAAAGTGTGTTCGTAATTTATCTCTTGTTAAAGTAGACAGAGCACAAAGTTAAAAGCCCCGTTCGGTTGTATTTTTAATTTTTATTTATTCTTATTTTTATTTTTTAAATACATATAATACTTGTTTAACGAAGTGCTTTTGAAAATTGTTTTCAATAAATAAAAAATTGAAAACAAACTATTTATAGAAAACACCAACAAGTTTGTTTTCAAAATTTTGAAAACTTACTCCACAAAAAATGATAATTCGTGTTGACAAAAATTATTATTTTGTTTCAGAAAAAATTAAGGGTAAAAATTATACTGTATTTTCTTGAGATTTAGAGAAAGTATAAAAACCCTACAACTTTAGTAGAATTACATTGACATTCATTAAAGTTTTAATTCACATATATAATACTTATTCCACTTTTCATCAAAAACTCATTAATCATATGGATGAAAAAAAATGATGATCTCCTCTAAGTTACATTAAAATGTATATTTTATATTATTTATTTTGTGTTTTAACAGCATTTGCATTTGTTATGATCCATTTAACCTTACAAAAATGAAAATTAGTGTAATTTTTTTAAATTATGAGTTTGTTGTATATATATTTTTTAATTTTATGAGAGGTCACTGTAGTTTACGCCCCAAAAAACCCTGAAATATAAGGAGCACAAAAACAGAACCAACAATTGAACGTACAATACAGAGAGCAGAGTTCATGAAGATAATTGTTGATGACTTATAGTGAGTGAAGACATTAACGTGGATGATGCGAGCCACCATTTGGTAGTATCCACAATTCAGGGGTCATATTAAGGTCAAGTTTGAGAAGACTAAATAAGTGTACTTTTTGACTTTTTATGAAATATGGGTTGAATTTGAGTTGGGTTTTAAGTGATGTGTTAAAGAGGTGATGTCACTTAAATAAGATGATGTGACTTAAATAGGATAGTGACTTTTTGACTTTTTGAATTTTTTGGAAGATGCCAAACTTGGCCTAAGCCTCCGTTTGCAAAGTGGGTTGTCTTTTTACTTTTTTGATTTTTTTGACTATTTTAGCTTGGGCTAAAAAGTTTAATTTGGGAAGGACTTTTTGACTTTTTGACTTTTTTGTGAGAGAAGAGTGTAATGATTATGAGTTAGATATGATGTTTTGTTTGTTGTGATTAAAATATCTTATTTTGTCTTTTGTGACTAAAATAACAATAAAAATCCTTGCCAAACGGAGCCTAGCATGTGAAGAAGAAGTATGGATGATGACATGATGAAGATAACCTTGCATTAATTGTAGAGGGTAGTTACAATTAAAACAAGCATACGAAGCCCAGAAAACCGAAAAGAAAAAAAGAAAAAAGAAAGTTGGTGATGAAATAAGGAACCTATTCTTTTACCATCTATGCCAAGTTTAGTCAACCTTTTCAGACATCTTTTCTGATTTGACAAAACCCTAATTTTTCCCAAATAGGATATTTGATTTTGACCACATCACTGGCTTGCATTTTGCAGAAAGAACCCCAACCTATTGTCACCCAACCTAGTCTTGTAAGCAGATGTCTTGTATTCATGCCAGGTGAACTCCTTGTACAAACTTTCTTCTCCGTCTTTCATTAGTGAACATAAAGGTGTTAACTTTTCACTCAAGGGTGGGCCTCCAAAGTAAATCATTGACACCCTTGGTTTCAAGTTGTCAGCCAAAACTCTGTGCCTCACACTCCTAAACCTCCCATTAGTCATCACCTGCACCAAATTAAAAGCCCCATATCAGTAATGTTTACAAGCCAAGAAAAAGTATACTAAAAAAATAAAAAATATATATATTAAGAGAGACAGAGACCCGTTAAAGAGAGAGGATTAAAAAATAAAACCCATTAAAAAAAAAGGACTTAAGGATGTAAACAGAGCAAAAGCCATTGAACAAAAATTAAAATTACAGAGAAAATTTAAGAGAACTTGTAGAACAAACAATTTGCACACATATATATATATATACAGATAAGATCTGAAGGGGGTGGGTTGTATTGGACCTGCAGGGAATCACCGACATTGATGAAAAAGGAGTACTGATCAGGCGGGACTGAGACCCATGTCCCATGTTTCAGACAGATTTCAAGTCCTGATGTGTTGTTAGATCTTACAGCAGACATTATCTGTGGGTCTGTGTGTTCTCCAAACCCAATCAAATTTCGACCACTCAATGCTTGAAGCTCTGGGCATGGTGGATAGTGGTTTAGCCTGAAACAAGAGTCACTCTTTTCATCCCTCAAAAGCTTACTCAACACATTCCTTGGCTCAATCTTCAACCCATCAGCTATCAATTCCAAGACTTCACACACCATATCTCTTACATTTGAGATGTAATCATTCACAGCAGACCTGTACCATTTCATAGAAAAATAGAAGAAAAATTGTCAGCTTGTTGTCATACACATCCTTTTTTTTATCAGCTACATGTATATATATACCATACTTGTAACAAAATATAGAGAGAAATTTTTATTTAATTCTCACTTGAAAATTTCTGGGTTATCCTGGAAAATGGAGAGAGACATCTGGGAAATGAATTCAGGGTTGGTGCTGAAGAGGAGGTATTCAACCCAACCCACATCACCATTTGGGCCAATTCTCTTGTTTCCGTAACCAAAAGGGATAGAAGGGCCAGCTTTGTCCTTTTCAGACTGAGGCAAGTTGAAGAACTTGACAGACTCAGCTTCTAATCTAGTGATGAGCTCAATAGGGACACCATGGTTGACCACCTTGAAGAACCCAAACTCTTGACAAGCCTCAACTATTAAGATCTTTGCATCAGGGTCTGAGAGGTCTATTTCTGGGATTCCAGTGAAAAGGCCACTAGTTGGTTTGCATGTCATGATGTGAGAGAAATCTTCTACTACTGATTGAGATAGAATCACCATGGTTGTGGTTGTTATGGAGAGAGAGAGAGAGAGAGAGAGAGAGAGAGAGAGAGAGAGGTTGGCTTTTGGTGAAGCTATTGGGGATGATGATCGAGTTTAAATGGACAAAATGCAAATGCATGAGAGGAGAGGTCAGGGGCGTTACAAACTATAAAGGAGGGACATCTGGCTTTGTGTGTCTGCTTGGTAATTTTATGCCATCGAGGGGAGATTCTGCTCTTATATATATATATATATATATATAAAAAAGTTAGGGATCACGAAATTTGTTTAACAAAAATGAT